TTCATTAAGCCCACAAGCCAAATACACGACAAGGTTAGAGACATATGCTACTTGCATTCAAAAGTATGGAACATCAAACAACTAGCATGGATTGTTCTCTCATCTAACAACTATGCTATCACTACACTACAATTAAGCTAATGACATGAAATTAAACTAATTAAGCTAAGGGAGAGGCACAATCCATCAAGAAATAAGCATGGACCATCTAGAAAATCACAAGAGCATTCTTTTAAGCATAATGTTTTGACAATCTCTATATCTATAGCATTAATACACATAGACATGCATCAATAACACAAGAAATAGAGGTAAATACATGAACATCTATTTTAGCATACATAGACATATGTATAAAATGAAATGATCAATTGGAAGTATTAAACCACATAAATCATTGAACAATCAAGATCTATATATATCAAAGTGTCAAAACATTAATTACAACACTAATCCCTGAATGATACACAAGATTAAGATATAGAAAGCATGCTTGGGGCTAACTCTAGCCCCAAGAGGATGTCTAGCCACTCATGGTAGTGCTTCTCCAACCCTCAAGGGCTAACTCCATGGTTGAGATTTACTCCTTGGATGATGAAGAGTCTCCAATGGTGTCTCTAGCCTCCTCCTCCTCTAAGCTTGCTCTCCAAGAGATGACATGAAAAATGATATTCGCGCCCTCGTTGTAAAAAGCAATCATTATCCTTATATAGGCAGGTCAAATGACACCCAAAATGAGCTGGGGTCGTGCACACAATATTCCCTAATGATTGGATAAATGACAACTTTTAATGAGCTGAAAATTTACTTTTTCGCACTGGAGGAAGTTCGATTGATCGAACCTTGGACTTGGATCGATCGAACTTGACTGAGATCCATCGAACTTAGGCTGGATCGATCCAACTGGTTGAGCTTTTTGGGAAAAGACAAATCTGAGATATTTTAAAGATATTTTTGGGAAAAGGACAAAAGTGGTTGATAGGGTGGTACAACTAGATAAGATCAATCATTTAAATAAGGACAAAAGTGTTCGATCGATCGAAGGGTGGTGTTGGATCGATCGAACTTGGACTTTCTGCTTTGGATCAAGGTTTGGATCTATCTTGAAGTACTGAGATCGATCAGTGTTCGATCGATCGAACCTTGAAGTTGGATCGATCGAACTTTGCTGCTTCCCACCTTTGGCTTCATTTGCTTCTTTCTTTCTCCACTTTGCTCATTTCTTTGTTTAATCCCAGAATTGTTTCAATTAAGCTCTTATTTGGCTGAGTTAGCTTATTTTCGGGATAAGTGCCTGAAAATGGAAATAATACAAAATCAATCTAAAACGGTAAAATAAGATAGATAAAGGTACTAGAATGCTTAAGCTTAAGGGGTTTAAATATGCACTTTTCAGCGCTCATCAGTTGTCACATAACAAAATTTGCTAATATTACAAAATGTCACATAAAATATTATAAAAAAAAATTGTCCGATCACTTTCTATTTCAAATGATAACTAGTTAGCAGAGAAGCACTACCATATTTATTACAACTTTATTTTCAAAAATTCAAGTGTAGTAAATGCTGGTAGTTTTGGTACTGACTAGCCCTTATATACATTTCAGAAGACCTAAATTAGAAAACTCTAAAACTAAGAAATTGTCTAATTATAGAGATATTGACCAAAAACTAATTTCCTAAAATCAGGGATTACAATGACTAAAACATTACAAAATCTCTTAGCTAATTACAGTTATACACACATGGTTTCCTTAGCTAATTACAGCTATACACGTACGGTTTCCTTATATATATAACCGAATTTTCCATAATACTATAGAGTTCTTCATATGTCATCCTGTTTGTCTTTGCTCGTAATCTCAGCAATCAAGCCTATAAAAATGAAATCATAAATAAATGCTTAGTCAGTATTAAAAATTCATTAAGAATGATCTATTATTTGAATGGTTTAAAGACAAATATTTACAAAAAAAAAAAAATATTTAGGAACAAATTATAAAGACTTCTCCGAAAGGTAACAACCTGGTAACGTGTGATGAGTGGAGGATGATTGACCACTGCAAACCATATAAAAATTGGTTCCTTCATCTGTTTGCACTGAAACAACACACGCGGACAACACGAAAGCAAAATCATGAATCATGCATTATAAGTTCAAAATATATAGCTAGTTAATCTATAAAAAAATCTAATTTAGCATCAAGTTTATATATATATGTACACATATGTATAGACATGCAGATTTGTTTTACCTTTTATATTCTATGGTTAAAGTTTACTCTGATTAACGTTAACGTCAAGATTAATCTTCTCATAGGTCACTTTCATCCTCAAATAGTAGTATTTTCCCAATACACTTGGTTAGGCCACTTCTCTTAACTTCGTTAAATTACAATAGGATGCACGCATGGACAACGAATGTGGAGGAAGATTGACCATTGATCATAATCGCATAAGAGGAGGGACGAGTACTTTTTTTGACAAATTAGACTCTTTTTACAAATCCAATGTATACTTTGTGAGTTGCATAAGACAAAATGGTAGTGAAAAACAAGTATGGAGAAATACTTAAAGGGGGGAAAATAAGTTCGACTTGCCATTTTTTTTATATTTGTCAAATTTAATTTTGTACCAAAATAAAACTAATGATCAACCCACAAAACAAATATTAAAGTGCAAGTAATGTAAAACAAGAGTTATAGTTTGACACTGGGATTTTAGCGAGGAAAACTTAATTACAAAAATTTATCAAATTGAGAGAAAAACTTTGGAGACTTTCACGCATTCTCGAGCAAAACGATCCACTATCTTTAAAGCAAAGTACAATGGACTCTAACTCAAGCTCGCACCCACTCCCTCTACCTAGAACTAATCGTTGAATGCCTCTAACTTTGCGACTTTCCCGTCCAAACGCTTTAAACTTCAGGGTTACTCCTTAATCCTTGTAGAAGTGTTGTTGGTAGAATACGAACACTCCATAAATGCTCTGTTCCCTTTGTAGCTTGATTGATTCATAATTTCCATCAAATCTAAATTGGTGAAGGTAAAAGAACAACTCTATTTTTCTGAACGGTTGCAATGGATCTTCAATAACTCGAACTCCGATCAGATAAAGAACAATATCCTAAATCCCTCTTATATATAGTATGTGCTCTCAAATTGAAAAACAAACACTCTGGAAAATCTAACCAAATGGCTCTCTCAAAATTGCATAACTTTGATTTCAAAAGTCGTAAAACCCCTAAGAGAGAAAGAGTGTTTACATAGATTTTGTAAAACCTAAAACAATTTGTAAAACTAGTCTTGTTTGTGCAAAATCGTCCTACTGAAGTCTGATAAAAAAGGAAACCAAGTTTGAGTAAAATTACAATTTCTAATTTGGTTACAACAGGGACGGACCCAGAAAATAAGGTAAGGAGGGCAACAATGATTTTTTTTAGTAATTTTAGGAGGGCAATAACAATATTTTATGGATGTATAATTGAAAAAACCAAATTAACAAGGGTAAATTACTAAATAAAAATTGTGGTCGGGGGTGGGGGGGTGGGGACCCCCCGAACTACATGTAGGTCCGTCCCTGAGTGACTAGGAAGTTGAACCGGTTCATTTTTTTTTTTTTGTTTCAAAAACGTGAATAGAAGGGCAACTTAGGCCGGTTCATAAAAGTTGGACAAGTCAATTTTTGGAAGTTTACTTTTTCAATAACCTTAAAGAGTTCCTAAACCCTATACGACAACTAATTTTGACACTCAAGTTTGTCAATTGCAAAGTTGGTTGCTAAACGTTTGCAACCAAAAATACATTTAGGACGAAAACTACATGTAGGTCCGTTCCTGAGCTACTAGGAAGTTGAACGGATTCATTTTTTTTTGGTTTAAAAAACGTGAATTGAAGGGTAACTTAGGCCGATTCATAAAAGTTGGTCAAGTCAGTTTTTGGAAGTTTACTTTTTCAATAACCTTAAAGAGCTCCTAAGCACTATACAAAAAATGAACTCTCCTGATCTCACATGCATACCTTGACTAAAATGTTATTATCTTCCAAATGGAGTGTGTTTGCATGCTTTCCAATATTGTTATTCCTCCTCCGAAACTGTGACTCAAGAATAAAATATAAAATTACAACCGACTAATTTTGACACTAAAGTTTGTCAATTGCAAAGTTGGTTGCTAAACGTTTGCAACCAAAAAAACATTTAGGACGAAAACTATAAATAACCGTTAATTTAGTTTAATTAGGTATAAAGTCTACAAATTAATTGATATAAAATAATATAAAAAAATGATAAAAAGCAAAAACACACTTTTAATAGTGCAAATATAGATAAGTTATGCTCCAATTCACGACGTCAATTTTAGAATTTATACATATATATATATATATATATATATATATATATATATATATTCACGACCTCAATTCTAGAATTTATACATACATATATATATATATATATATATATATATATATATATATAAAAGACTCGAAATCTCTTAAGTAAAGTGTAATATGCATTGCAACTTTATGACGTTTGTGTAATTTGTAATTTGCATTTTGCATTGTAACTTTTTGCTCTGGCTACTTGTACTTTTAATTATAAATAATAATATATAGTTTATGGTGTTTGTCAGGAATAAAAAAATAATAATAATAATAATAATAATAATAGGAAAAATTAACCGTTATAATAGTGAATTTTTACTCACCAACAAAAAACGAAATGGTAAAATTTACAATTTAAAGTTATGAATTTTAGATTGGTTGAAATTCACTATTTGAAAATGGTGAAATTTCAAACTTGTGAGCAAAATGTACCTTTGTGATTATGTGTATTAAGGAGCCACGTCATAGTTTGGATCCTGAAAAACATACTCCGTAGAATGATAAATATATAAATAAATACAGCCGCCAATAAATAAAAGCCAAAAATATATTTTTATCTAGAAGTTTTATGATGGTATGATATTTTTAGAGGTAGAGATATTTTCACATCACCTCGAGCTACAAATATCAGACGCTATCTTTTTGAGGTCTCGCTAAATTGTGCACAGTTGGAGTGTGTGTTTAGTGTGTTTGCGGAAAAGAAAGAGTGAAAGTAAAGATGGACACTGAACAGGTGAGAAGGAGAATGAACATGATTGCCGGTCACTTTGCCACCAACGATGATGTATCTGCCACTGCCACCCACGTCTTCCCTTTGGTAATCTCTCCGTATTTGATTTATCTAACCCTCTGTTTGGTTTGTCAGAAAAACTTAAGAAAAGTTATGGAAAGCGTTGAAAGTCTATTTTTCTTTTTCCTTCTTGGGTTTCAGATGAAAACTGTTCATTTTTCGAAATTTTAATTTCTTCCCTATAACACCGTTTTTTTCCCTCTCTTAGCAATCAATCAGGAAAATTTGACTGTTTTGCCCCTTTATTCTCCCAATCAGGTGTTGTTTTTTCAACCATTTGCATTTGTAACTTCGCTGTTGTTCAAGCATAATTCCTTGTATCTATACATACCATTTGGTTTAATTCAATATACTGATCGAGTAATTAGTTTATTGGTTCTTCTCTCTGTGTTGGGGATTTAGTAGATTTTTTCTAGGAGATACATACAGGTTAATCATTAATGCCATGGTATTTGTTTTGTTGTATTCTACACTCTGAAATGTGTTGTGGTTTTGGTACCCAACTTTTTGAAGGTGTTAGTGGCATATGGACATGATATATATATCTTGTGCCTTAAAAGTCCTCTCATTCTTTTATAAAGCTGATTTCAATCTCATTTAGTAAAATATTTCTTGAAACGTGGTAATCCAATTACAATTTAGGATGACTTCCTTTGTGGGCTTAAAAGTGGCAATTGATGTGGTAGCTTGTATGATTGTATGGCTGTGAACCAAAGTTGTAAATTTATTTTTTATAAACTTGTAACACTCATATTGATTTATTAAAAACCGAAAAGGTTAGTCCCAACTTTTAATCGAAAATAATAATAGATAGAATATGATTTAGGATATGTAAACAATAAGTTTCTGAGGCCTAGATAAAGAAATATTGCAAAAGTAGAAAATGAAATTGTAGGTATCAAAGAGGTATCTTGAAAAAGACAATGACCATCCAAATGCTTTAGTGACCAAAATTTGCTGACTTGAACTGATTACAACTTGAATAGTTTTTAGAAATCAGGAGAGTCCGTGTCTCGGCCATTGAAAGTGGTATCTTCTTATAAAATTATCACCATTATGATAATGCGAAAAATTACTAATTACTTTGGGCTTATCAAAACTGAGCCATTTAGGTATATATATGCACTTTGAGCTTTGAAATGATTGACTATAAAGTACAACAATTGGGCATGATTGAGATTTGATTTGTTCTCTCAGTTTACATTTGTAGTACTAGTATCCTAGCAAAGAAAATCGATTAACATTTATAACTGGATTTGTGCACCATTTAGGGATCCATGAACGTTTCTGGTTATGATATTTTCTCTTGAGTGCTTGCTTTTATGGCGCTAGAGTATGATTGTTGCTGTGAACTATTGTTACCTAGATGTTAGGAGTCTACTCATCTAGTACTCTTAACAATGAGCTAATCTGTACAAAGCTCTCATTTGCAAGGCTACCATCTAATTGCCAATATATTCTTCACCTGTAAATTTTTATTTTTTGGTGCACTTATTTGTCTCATCTTCTTGGTACACTTATTCCAGCGGTTCAATCATCTTTCTTTTCTCAGAATTGCAGTAGCAGTTTAAATGCTGTCATCCGGAGGTGTGATAACAGAATTTATTTTGCGAGGCAAGGGTCTAATTCTCAAGGTTGCTTCATGAGGCAGGTTTCAAATGAACAGGTGCTTATTATATTTGGTATACACGCCTTAATGTTGTTTTCCAATTCTTCCTGGAACTTATTCTGTATTCTCTCTGTTGCATCTGTATGTTTGTGTTATCCGTTGTACCTTCACTCAGTCTGGTGTGCCACTCAGGTGCACTGGTTCTGCAAATGAGAGCTCTTCTCATTCTTTTGAGACACCCTTGTTTTCTAGAACTGCTAGGATGGAACCCGACTTCCCAAATGTGGGAGTAATCCCACCTTTGGTGCAAGACTGCACATTACCTGCACCTGAGCCTCCGACGTTTTCCTGCATCTGTTCTGGGGTGGGTTCTAGCTTTCAAGTTTGGAAGTTACTTGGACTTGGTGGTTAGATGCATGAGGACAGTTAAAAAAAATTATATGAGTGTTAAGGGCCTTGAACTTTGAAATGGTTGATTACAGTTCATGTACAACATTTGGGCATGATTGGGATTTATTTGTTCTCTGTGTAATATAGAAAGTTGCCCACATTTGTGGTATCCTAGCAAATAAAGCCGATTAAGATTTATAACATTCACGTAGGGATTTATAATTGTTATTTGGTTATGAGATTTATGACTGTTGGCTTTATGGTGCTAGAATAAGATTATGGCTGTGAACTAGAGTTACCTCAGTGTTAGGAATCTAGTCATCAAGTCCTCTTAACAATGAGCTAATCTGTACGCAGCTCTCATTTGCTAGGCAAGCATCTGATTGTCAATATATACTTCATGTGTGTGTGTGTGTGTGTGTATGGGGTAGGTAATACACATACATGTACGCATTATTGTCTCATTAGGACTCTTACCCTCAACATTCCACTTGGAAGGAGGAGGAGACAGCACATGGGCTAAACCCTTGGTGCTGCTTCACGTGTGATTTACTGCCATAAGTATAACTAATTCATTTACAATATTTAAAACTTATTACAGTGTCCAATGTTTGGAAAAAAAGACACCAATATAAAAACCATCTGTTTGTGTAAATAAAAACTAATGAATATTCTCCTAAAATTAGAAACAACATCATACATAGAACTGGTTGAACAAGTAATATAGTCATCAAATGATGATATTTATTGTGTTCTTGTTTCTTGAAACATGTGTCTGTGGGATATTTATCATGGTTTTTTTGTCCCAACTTCTTTGTGCTCTTATTCCAGTGGTCCAATTATCTTTCTTGCCTCAGAATTGCAGTAGCAGTTTAAACTCTGTCATCCGGAGGTGTGATAACAGAATGTATTTTGGAAGGCAAGGGTCTAATTCTCAAGGTCGTTTCATGAGGCAGGTTTCAAATGAACAGGTGCTTAGATTTGGTATACCTTCCTTAATGTTGTTTTTCCAATTCTTCCAGGAACTGATTCTGTGTTATCTCTGTTGCATGTGTATGTTTGTGTTTTCGGGGGTACCTTTGCTCAGTCTGGCATCCCACTCAAGTGCACCGGTTCTGCAAATGAGAGCTCTTCTAATTCTTTTGAGACACCCCTGTTTTCTAGACCTGCTAGGATGGAACCCAACTTCCCTAATATCGGAGTAATCCAACCTATGGTGCAAGACTGCAAATTACCTGCACCTGAGCCACCGATGCTTGCCAGACCAAATAAAAGAATTAGCAGAAGGAAGCAGTTCCACTCCAAGAAGAAAATTCACGCTTTTGAATTGAATGGTAAAGAATTTTGATATCTGAATATGTGAGCTTTTGATGCATTCTTACTTCAAATTTTTTTGTTGTTTGGGTGGTCGTTTCTCATTTTCCTTAATGACCATATATTAAAGATTTGTGTATTCAGATTAAAATTTAGTTAACATGGCATTTAAAAGTTTATTACCCTCTCTCTCTCTCGTTCCCTTCTACTATTAAGCAATTAGTAATGAAAACTGATTTTTAATTCAAGTATCTTGTATTCACACCAGATAGAAAGAAGGTATTTTAACTGGCCTTGAACATGTTGAAATGCCTAGCTGAGAAGGGTGGAATTAATGTTCAAATAATTGTCTTTCTTGCTATCTGTCTATGAGACTCTGGTTACTTTTGTCTTGGATTTCAAGGTTGAGATATATAAATAGACTGTTCTCCTTCTCATTTATGACACAGGATTTGAATGGTCCCCAAGAATGGATGTTGCAGAATCTGGATGCAATTATATAATTACAGTAGAGCTTCCAGGTGTTGGCATTAATGACATTAGAGTGGAGGTCAATGAACAAAAGTAAGATACTTTCTGGAGATTCATGTCTATACTTCCATTTCGTGTTATTTCTCTTCCACTCTTTAGGGGTGATATCTTTTAATCGGCACGTATAAGATGTCTATGACTGAAGTGATTCTTTTTTATTAGGATCTTTTAATTGGAGCTTGACATTGGTCTAACGAGACTTCTCATTTTCTGGCAGTTTAACTGTGGCGGGTAAACGCTCAACCCAGTGGTGGAAAGTGGAAAGTTGTTCAAATGATTTAATCTCTGCATATCACAAGAGGGAGATTTTACAAGGTCCTTACCAGGTTGTGTGGCCACTTCCCCCTAATGTGAACAAGGACTGTGTATCGGCTGAGTTTGTGTAAGTCACTGCTTCATATCATTGTTTTCCTTATTGGTTTTATGCTTCTTAATTGGAAATGGCTCACAGTGACGATTCTTTTAAAGTGTGTGTATATATTTATATATAGTTGATTACCAGTCCTGATTACATATAATTTTCCTGTTTAAACATTTTATCTTTAATATATTTAGTAGACCTGTTTAAACATTTCATTTTTATATGATTAGTTCATATGTAAGAGAAAGGAAAAAGTACCTCTTTCAGCATCTATTCAAAATTTTGACTTACAATGCTGTTTTTAAGTTTGGAAATTGCATAATACCTGGTTATCATCTTCATTAACATCAATATTTAATTTTACGTGTGAATATATATTAAAATTGATCTACAAACAGAATTTTAATATAAATTTCCATCAGTATGATGTGGTAGTAGCATTTTTCAGCTGGACACTAGCAGTCATGTTGTTTATAATGATATGGAAATAGTCTGTGTCATTAATTTTATGTGAAGATTTTTATATAAATTCTGTGTATATATCATTACTCATTAACAAGTTGATATTCAAATATATAAATTGTTGCAGTGTTATTTAGATTTAAAGGGTCATACAATAAAACTGTAGCAAAGATTAAATGAGTAGTACTAAGAGCTAAAACAACAATGTTGGAGATTTTGATTTATGTCAGGGAGGGTCAACAAATGAAAGATTTTAGATTATTGAAGAAACTAATGAAAAGTTGTAGAGAGAATAATCTAGATTAAAATTTTTTTTTTTACATATCCAGATGATTCCTATGATTTGACTCCTTAAAATATACTGTGGTGGGTTTAGATAAGCAATGGATAAAGAATGTGTATGTTAACATGACAAAGGACTTGTACGATGTAGTTCTGATTATAATAAAAACAATTGCAGGAGAAACAAGTGAACAAACAATTACAGTAGGATTACACCGGGATAACTATGTTTTTGCCTTAGTTATGATGTGCTGATAAGATACATTAATGATGAGGTTTCATAATGTCTGCTGTATATTCTATTGGCTGATGATATTTGATATTGATAATATTAGTGTAGGGACAAAAATTTAATTAAAGATCTAGAGAGAAGCTTTAGAATCAAGAGGTCTTAACTTCAGATTAAAACTGAATGGAAAAACTGTAATTTTTGCAAAATTAGGATGACAAGTGGGCATATGTTGAAGATCGAAGGTAAATAGATACCAAAAAGTGGGTAGTTTTATTACCTAGATTCATAAAGAAGAAATATTGGAGATGATGATGTTACTCATCATTAAAGTAAGATGTCTTAAGAGGAGAATTGCTATTGGCATAGTGTGTGATTGATATGAAACTATACAATTTATCAATGCTGAGCTATGAAATAATATATTTATAAAGTAAGCATGACCGAATTATGAATGTTGAGATGAATGTGTGCATCCACTGCATATATATATAAAAAAATAAAAATAAAAAAAAGAGAGAGGAGAGAATCAATTAAAGATGGTTTGGTTATGTGCAACAATTCTCTAGTGAAATAAAAATGTTGTGATCTTATTGAGAGGGATGCTAAAGGAAAAGGGGGGCCAAATTTAACATACACTACGTTATTAAGGAAAGATAAATAGCATCTTACAGACAAAAAAAAAAAAAAAAGAGGACTGTGATAACATGTAGGGGTGCACACGGTTCGGATGACGTTGATATAATAGTATTTTCGAACCAATCCAATCTCAACAAAAAATTTGTAACCAAACTGATCCGATCACACTGTCTAAACCTAGCAAAGTCCAAACACAATCCAACCATGGAATTGGATGACGTGCAGATTGATATGGAATTGGGGCTTTAGGGTTGGGTTATGGGTTTTCATATAAGGTGTGGTAAGGTCTATGGTAAACTTACATAGATGACCAATGTTATGAGAACTATATATATACAATAGTAGTGAATCGGATTTGTTTTTTGGACTATATCCGTGAACCGAACCTATCACCGCGGTTCTCTTAATTCTGAAACTGTAACTGAACCAATTGCTTGAGAAACTAAACCGATCAGATCGAATTAACGCGTTGAAAAGTTGATTTTATGTTAATTATAGTGAAAGCTTGAATTGGAAGCATGGAGGATGAGTGGGTCAAATGAAATCATATTAAAATATCTTAACATCTAGCCAAAAAGGAAAGACCGAAAAATTATCATATCATTTTCCATTGTTATTGATGTTTCTTCCCAAATAACTTCCAATTTGACCTTTTCCCTCCCTTCAGTCATTCAGTTAGATGCCTATTCATCATCCTTGAAACTCTCTCTTCCCATTCTTCTGCAGAGCCATTATTGCAGCAACTACTTCAATCTGAGCTGATTGTTTGGATGAAAGTAACTGGAACTGATAAATAGGATTTGAATGCACCTGGATTTCATTATTTGAAATTTATAATTCTTCTGTTTGGACCAATAATTTAATTCTTATGGTTCGGTAGAGAAAATGGTGGGGGTTATGTTGGTGGTTGTGCTGTATATGTGTTCTTCCAGTGGCTGCCCTGGTTCTGACAGTTGTAAAGGGGATGTAAAACATTGCTTTCGTGTTGAAAATGACACAATGCTAAATGGTGGCACATCTTGTAGCTGTAGTAGTCAAAGTAGTATATGCAATCCCTTGTATGGGAATCCTAAAGGCAAAATCAATTCCAGAAGCAACTATGATGATGCCAGCTGGTATTGTAGCAATACTTGTATGTTGTAATTATGCAAATAGACTCCTACAAGTAACTATGATGATACCACATAGTCTTCTAGTGATAATATGTAATAATGTAACTAATAACCTAGAACAGTAATACCCTTGTTGTGAGCTAATAGTCACTGACGTTGAAAAAGCTGTCATTTGCCTATTTATGGTGTATCCAATCAAAATAATTTTGTTTATGAGGTGGACGATGAGAGTGATTTGGTGAGTTACGGCATGAAAGACATAGGATGTTAATTGGGTGGAATCTGTCTCATTTTGGCATTATAATAGGACATTTGTTTACGCTAATGCTCCCTGATTGTGTTGACGAGTCTTGGTCATTGTGGAGGTCTGAACATATTTCGAAGGGTCAAAACTGGGAAGTCTTGTTTGGCGTATAGATATAGGACTTGATGCAGGTGATTGAGACAAGAGTCGAAAACTGCCCCCTTAGGACCTATATACTTCGACAAATGCTTAAAGGTACTGATAAATCTAAGGAGGAGTTATGTATATGTCAGGGCACTATTTTTGCAGATACTCCCAAACATGATTAATAAGTTTGGGTATGTTGCTGTCTGTTCTAAGGCACTTGCTAATGGTTCTGATGAGATATGGACATTGGAAATTAGTTTTGCTATTTTTATAGGAAAAAGTTCAAGTAAAAACTAAATTAATGATATATATATAAATAAGTTTGATTATTTTTTAGGAGACAAAGTAATTTCCAGAATTCTTTATAAAAACAGTTCGCTTGCACCCCTGTTTTCACAAACCCTAGTTGTAAGTTTTGATAGTTTGAAATTTACCATTATACCAAACAATGACCCTAAAAATGTCCGATCTTCTAGATTCCAACCAATCCCCCAAGTACTAACGGTTATTGACTAGTCTATGGTTAAGGCAAAAAATGATTCACTTTAAATTAATTTTAATTTTGCCACATCAATAATTTTGCCCTGTACATGTATTTTGTGTATATGTCGTTCCAAAAACTTAACACCAACAATGCCATAACAATTCCAGTAAATCTATGTACGTAGGAGTTGGTACCATTTTTCTTTATTTCAGATACATTCATTGTGTCCTAATGCATGAAAATTTGAGTGTGTGGTAGAGCATTATGTACACTCATATACTTCTTGCATCTGACAGTGATGAGTATTGTTGGTGCAGGGATGGGTTTCTACGTATCATCATTCCCAAACTTTGAGAAGCCAGACGGTATAAATGTCTTTTTAATTGTAACTAATGTTTATATGATGTACTAGATGGAGGGGGGTGAGTACACTCTTCAGTGTCATATATATACATATATAGAGAGAGAGAGATTGAGAGAGAGAGAGATTGTATTGGATTCTTCATATGTGTGTGTGTGTGTGTGTGTGTGTGTGTGTGTGTGTGTGTGTGTGTGTGAACATGCTTGCTATTGTCAGTTGGGAGCTGCTTAAGTAATCTTCGATTATGGCCTTGTAAGAATGTTGTTTGATTTTAGAGAGGCTAAAAAAAATGAATAATAAGAGTTGGACCTTCATTTAGCACTCTGCTCTACATTTGGGATGATAACCAAATGATGGATTGGTACAGAGGAAAATGTTGGGGTGGTGGTTGACTAGATTAGAATGACATGTGATCCCACTGGGTATCAATCCACCCTCTCTTACTTGTGAATGCATGATTTATAGGAGTTAAATATATTTTAGAACATACTCCCTCCCTCAGTTCCTTTTTTAATTGATGTGAGTTACAGTTTACGAAACGGACAACTAAAAAGGCACGGTGGTAGTATTTTGTTAGAATTTTTGGGAGAAATTAATGAAAATAAACTTATTCAGAGACATGTTGGCAGATGGGGGAAGCACAAGAAGTAATACAACAAAAGAGAGTTTTGAAGCATGGAAGCCTAGCGGTATAACTTTTCTATCACTTTCCTATCCTGAAAGAGGATGGATTCGAGTCCAAGTGTGGGCGATATAGGGTACAAAAAAATGCTTAATGAGGAGAAGGTAGAAAAACTATTTGTAAATTGGCAAAGAGTACGGATAAGTTGAGCAAACGAGTCATATAATGAAATTATGAAAAGGATGCTAGACTGGAAGGAATCTATAGCCATACGATAACCAATTTAAATTTATATTAGGAAACTCAACAATGGAAGCTATTTACTTAATAAGAGCACATTCAACTGTTCTGTGTATATATATGTGTGTGTGTAAATTTAATGTGTCATAATAGATTTAAACAAAAAAATTGAATTATTTATTTTTAGTTCCAGTTGTTATTTTATACCTTTTGTGTAAAAATATATTCCCGATAACAAAGTGTCATGCGTGGACTCACATAATTTTTATAAACATACTTACTATGGGGTTGATTTGTTAATGGGATAAGAAAGGGGAGGAGAGAGGAAATATGCTGATCTGGTAAAATACACAATAATTTTACACATTGAAGATGTGGCAGTCACAATTTTATACATTGGAGAAGTGACAATATATGTGTGTGTGTGTGTAAATTTAATGTGTCATAATAGATTTAAACAAAAAAATTGAATTATTTATTTTTAGCTCCAGTTGTTATTTTATACCTTTTGTATAAAAATATATTCCCAATAACAAAGTGTCATGCGTGGACTCACATAATTTTTATAAACATACTTAATATAGTGTTGATTTGTTAATGGGATAAGAAAGGGGAGGAGAGAGGAAATATACTGATCTGGTAAAATACACAATAATTTTACACATTGATGATGTGGCAGTCACAATTTTATACATTGGTGACGTGACAATATATATGTGTGTGTGTAAATTTAATGTGTCATAATAGATTTAAACAAAAAAATTGAATTATTTATTTTTAGCTCCAGTTGTTATTTTATACCTTTTGTGTAAAAATATATTCCCAATAACAAAGTGTCATGCGTGGACTCACATAATTTTTATAAACATACTTAATATAGGGTTGATTTGTTAATGGGATAAGAAAGGGGAGGAGAGAGGAAATATGCTGATCTGGTAAAATACACAATAATTTTACACATTGATGATGTGGCAGTCACAATTTTATACATTGGAGACGTGACAATATATGTGTGTGTGTGTAAATTTAATGTGTCATAATAGATTTAAACAAAAAAATTGAATTATTTATTTTTAGCTCCAGTTGTTATTTTATACCTTTTGTGTAAAAATATATTCCCAATAACAAAGTGTCATGCGTGGACTCACATAATTTTTATAAACATACTTAATATAGGGTTGATTTGTTAATGGGATAAGAAAGGGGAGGAGAGAGGAAATATACTGATCTGGTAAAATACACAATAATTTTACACATTGATGATGTGGCAGTCACAATTTTATACATTGGTGACGTGACAATATATATGTGTGTGTGTAAATTTAATGTGTCATAATAGATTTAAACAAAAAAATTGAATTATTTATTTTTAGCTCCAGTTGTTATTTTATACCTTTTGTGTAAAAATATATTCCCAATAACAAAGTGTCATGCGTGGACTCACATAATTTTTATAAACATACTTAATATAGGGTTGATTTGTTAATGGGATAAGAAAGGGGAGGAGAGAGGAAATATGCTGATCTGGTAAAATACACAATAATTTTACACATTGATGATGTGGCAGTCACAATTTTATACATTGGAGACGTGACAATATATGTGTGTGTGTGTAAATTTAATGTGTCATAATAGATTTAAACAAAAAAATTGAATTATTTATTTCTAGCTCCTATTGTTATTTTATACCTTTTGTGTAAAAATATATTCCCAATAACAAAGTGTCATGCGTGGACTCACATAATTTTTATAAGCATACTTAATATAGGGTTGATTTGTTAATGGGATAAGAAAGGGGAGGAGAGAGGAAATATACTGATCTGGTAAAATACACAATAATTTTACACATTGATGATGTGGCAGTCACAATTTTATACATTGGTAACGTGACAATATATATGTGTGTGTGTGTAAATTTAATGTGTCATAATAGATTTAAACAAAAAAATTGAATTATTTATTTTTAGCTCCAGTTGTTATTTTATACCTTTTGTGTAAAAATATATTCCTAATAACAAAGTGTCATGCGTGGACTCACATAATTTTTATAAACATACTTAATATAGGGTTGATTTGTTAATGGGATAAGAAAGGGGAGGAGAGAGGAAATATGCTGATCTGGTAAAATACACAATAATTTTACACATTGATGATGTGGCAGTCACAATTTTATACATTGGTGACGTGACAATATATCTTAACATACTGTTGGAGATATGCATTGTATATTTTACACAAAGGAATATTTTAACACAAGAAAAACTCTACATGATTCTTTGATAACGCAATTAAGCACTTAATTTTAAACAGGCTAATTTAAGCACTTAATTTTAAACAGTAAACGCCAATTGAAATGGGATAAAATTTAAAGTGAGAAAACATCACTCATGCTAAAGGTTGAAAATTTATAAAGATATTACAAAATATTCATTTTTTAATTATCATTTAAAAATTCAGTAATTAAAATTTATATCTTAAAATTTTCAGTAATTATTTATACTAAAGTTTGTCAATTGCAAAGTTGATTGCCAAACAGTTTGCAACCAAAAATACATTTAGGACGAAAACTATAAATAACCGTTAATTTAGTTTAATAAGGTATAAAGTCTATAAATTAATTGATATAAAATAATATAAAAAAATGATAAAAAGCAAAAACACACTTTTAATAGTGCAAATATAGATAAGTTATGCTCCAATTCACGACGTCAATTTTAGAATTTATATATATATATATATATATATATATATATATATATTAATTTTAGAATTTATATATATATATATATATAAAAGACTCGAAATCTCTTAAGTAAAGTATAATTTGCATTGCAACTTTATGACGTTTAGGTAATTTGTAATTTGCATTGCAACTTTTTGCTCTGGCTACTTGTACTTTTAATTATAAATAATAATATGTAATCTCTCGAGTTTGTCAGGAAAATAATAATAATAATAATAGTAAAAATTAACCCTTTTTTTTTTTTTTTTTTTTTTTTTTTTTTGCAGCAAAATTAACTGTTATATAGTGAATTTTTACTCACCAACAAAAAAGAAATGGTAAAATTTACAATTTAAAGTTATGAATTTTAAATTGGTTGAAATTCACTATTTGAAAATGCTGAAATTTCAAACTTGTGAGCAAAATGTACCTTTGTGATTATGTGCATTAGAGAGCGCCACGTCATAGTTTGGATCCTAAAAAAAAATACTCGGTAGAGTGATAAATATCTATACTATTATTAGATGTGCAAAGTGTTTCAGTGATTCAGTATTTCAGTAATTATTTATTAATTGATATAAATTCTATAACACTCAAAATTACCTAATAAAATTAAAATTAATTCAAATTAACAAAATATAAAAAGAGTTTAATTCAAATTACAAAGTCCCACGTTGGTTTTAAGTAAAAAGGATTACATATCTCTTATAAAACTATAGAGCTAAATAAATAATAATTACACCTTCTCGGCCTTTTGGCTAAGATTAAGTGTAGTACTATATTTTTTTGGGTCAGCCTTTTGGCTAACCTTTCTTGGTTTTTTGGTTAAGATCAAGTGTAGTATTACTTTCTCGGCCTTTGTACAAAGAGTTTCAGTATTTATTTATTAATTGATATAAATTCTATAAAACTCAAAATTACCTAATAAAATTAAAATTAACAAAATATAAAAAGAGTTTAATTCACAATAAAGAGCTCTCATTAAATATTATATCCCACAATATAAATTCTATAAAACTCAAAATTACCTAATAAAATTAAAATTCAATCTATAATCAATTATGCTTGATAGAATGATCCATAAATTAACCTATTTATCTATTTATTATTATGAATTTTTTAATAAAAAAAATATAATTGGACAAGAATTATTAATATAAAAATATTTATTAATTGATATATAAAACAAAATAATTTTTCTAAAACTCTACCATAAATTAGCTTTTATTATGAGTTTCTTAGTAAAATTAAATCTAATTAAACAAGGATATATTTAAAAAATAATAATAATAATTTCTATAAAACTCTATCACAAATTACCTATTTTATTTTTGATAAAACTATATCACACTAGACGAAGATATATTTAAAGAATTTCTATAAAACTTTAACACAAATTACATATTTATTTATTTATTATGAGTTTTTTAATAAAAGGAAATCTAATTAGACAAGTATTGTTAATATAAAAAATTATTTATTACTTGATATAAAAAAAGGTTTTAAAAGAGTTTCTATAAAACTCTAACACAAATTACCTATTTATCTATTTATTATGAGTTTTTTTTAATAAAAGTAAATCTAATTAGACAACAATTATTAAAATCAAAAATATTTATTAATTGAAAATTATCTAATAAAATCATGCAAAGTGTTTCTGTATTTCGTATTTATATTTATATAAAAAACTATTTATTAATTGATATAAAAATAGCATTTGTAAAAATAGTTTCTATAATACTCTAAAAATTACCTAATAAAATCAACCACATTCTATATAAAACTCTAATTTTTAGTTCAATATAAAAATAATAGTTATTTTTTATGGATAATTATCACAATATAACCGGCCCGGCCCAGTTATGATTATGTAATTATCAGAAAAAGACACATGTCGTCATCTTATTAATCCAAGAAGCCTATAAATAGAGGAAAGAAGGAAGGGATGCATAAATTGAGAATTTTAGAAATCCGTAATTCCAGAATAAAATACGAAAACTCTGCCAAAGAGTTTCAGTATTTATTTATTTATATAAAAAAATATTTATTAATTGATATAAAAATAGGTTTTTATCTATACTATTATTAGATGTACAAAGAGTTTCAGTATTTAAGTATTTATTTATTTATATAAAAAAAATATTAAAACACTAAAATTTACATAATAAAATTTAAATTAACCTATTTATCTATTTATTATTATGAATTTTTTAATAAAAGAAAATATAATTAGACAAGAGTTACTAATATAAAAAATATTTATTAATTGATATATAAAATAAAATAATTTTTCTAAAACTCAACCACAAATTAGCTTTTATTATGAGTTTCTTAATAAAATTAAATCTAATTAGACAATGATATATTTAAAGAAAATAAAATAATTTCTATAAAACTCTATCACAAATTACCAATTCAGTATTTAAGTATTTATTTATTTATATATAAAAAATATTTAAAACACTAAAATCTACGTAATAAAATTTAAATTAACCTATTTATCTATTTATTATTATGAATTTTTTAATAAAAGAAAATCTAATTAGACAATAACTACTAATATAAAAAAAATTTATTAATGGATATATAAAACAAAATAATTTTTCTAAAACTCAACCACAAATTAGCTTTTATTATGAGTTTCTTAATAAAATTAAATCTACTTAGACAAGGATATATTTAAAGAAAATAAAATAATTTCTATAAAACTCTATCACAAATTACATATTTTATTTTCAATAAAACTCCATCACACTAGACAAATATATATTTAAAGAGTTTCTATAAAACTCTAACATAAATTACTTATTTATCTATTTATTATGAGTTTTTTAATAAAAGAAAATCTAATTAGATAAGTATTATTAATATAAAAAATTATTTATTAATTGATATAAAAAGATGTTTTTAAAGAGTTTCTATAAAACTCTAACACAAATTACTTATTTATCAATTTATTATGAGTTTTTTTAATAAAAGTAAATCTAATTAGACAAGAATTATTAAAATAAAAAATATTTATTAATTAAAAATTACCTAATAAAATGATGCAACGTGTTTCAGTATTTATTTATTTATATAAAAAATATTTATTAATTGATATAAAAATAGTTTATATAAAACTCTAAAAATTACCTAATAAAATCTATCATATTTTATACAAAACTTTTATTTTTAGTTCAATATAAAAAGAATAGTTATTTTTTATGGATAATTATCACAATATAACCGGCCCGGCCCAGTTATGATTATGTAATTATCGAAAAATGACACATGTCATTATCCTACTAATTCAAGAAGTATATAAATAGAAGCATGGAGGAAGGAGGAAAGGGTATGGAAATTAAAAATTATAGAAATCTAGAATTCTAGAGTAAAATACAAAAACTCTGCCAAAGTATTTCAGTATTTATTTATCTAGATGAAAAAATATTTATAAAAAAAGTTTTTATCTATACTATTATTAGATGTGCAAAGAGTTTCAGTATTTAAGTAATTATTTATTTATATAAAAAATATATTTAAAAAACTAAAATCTAAATAATAAAATTTAAACTAACCTATTTATCTATTTATTATTATGAATTTTTTAATAAAAGAAAATCTAATTAGACAATTATTATTAATATAAAAAAATATTTATTAATTGATATATAAAACAAAATAATTTTTCTAAAACTCTACCACAAATTAGCTTTTATTATGAGTTTTTTAATAAAATTAAATCTAATTAGACAAGGATATATTTTAAAAAAATAAAATAATTTCCATAAATTGTATCACAGATTACCTATTTTATTTTTAATAAAACTCTATCACACTAGACAAAGATATATTTAAATAGTTTCTATAAAACTTTAACACAAATTACCTATTTATCTATTTATTATGAGTTTTTTAATAAGAGGAAATTTAATTAGATAAGTATTATTAATATTAAAATTTATTTATTAATTGATATAAAAAGAGGTTTTAAAAGAGTTTCTATAAAACTCTAACACAAATTACCTATTTATCTATTTATTATGAGTTTTTTTTAATAAAAGTAAATCTAATTAGACAAGAATTATGAAAAAAAAAAAATTTATTAATTGCAAAATTAATTAATAATATCAATCATATTCTATATAAAACTCTTATTTTTAGTTCAATATAAAAAGAATAGTTATTTTTTATGAATAATTATCACAATATAACCAGCACACCCTGTTATGATTATGTCATTATCCGAAAATGACACAGGTCATAATCCTATTAATCAAAAAAATCTATAAATAGAGGCATGGAGTAAAGGGTACAGAAATTGAGAATTATAAAAATCTAAAATTACATAGTAAAATACAAAAGCTCTGCCAAAGAGTTTCAGTATTTATTAATTTTTTTTTTTATCTATACTATTATTAGATGTACAAAGAGTTTCAGTATTTATTTATTTATATAAAAAAAATATAAACACTAAAATTTACTTAATAAAAAGTTTCTATAAAACTCTAACACAAATTATCTATTTATCTATTTATTGTGAGTTTTTTAATAAAAGAAAATCTAATTAGACAAGTATTACTAATGTAAAAAATTATTTATTAATTGATATAAAAAGAGGTTCAAAAGAGTTTCTATAAAAAAACTCTAAAACAAATTACCAATTTATCTATTTGTTATGAATTTTTTAATAAAAGTAAATCTAACTGGACAAGAATTATTAAAATAAAAATATTTATTAATTGATATAAAAGGAATTTTTAAAAGAGTTTATATTAAACTCTAACACAAATTATCTATTTATTTATTTATTTATTATAAGTTTTTTAATAAAAGAAATTATAATTAGACAAGAATTATTAATATAAAAAATATTTTTTAATTGATCTAAAAAATTAAGTAATTTTTCAAAAACTCTATCACAAACTACCTTTTATTATGAGTTTTTTTTTTTTTTTTTTTTTTTTTTTTTTTTTTTATATTAATAAAAGCTAATTTAATTTGACAAGAATTGTTAAAATTTAAAAATATTTATTAATTGATATAAAAAAAGTTTTTAAAAGAGTTTCTATTAAACTTTAACACAAATTACTTATTTATTTATTTATTATAAGTTTTTTTTTAAAAAAAAAATCTAATTAGACTAGAAAAACTCTAACAAAAATTACCTATTTTATTTTCAATAAAATTATAATATATTAGACAAAAATATATTTTAAGATTTTCTATAAAAACTCTAATACAAATTACCAATTTATCTTTTTATTTTGATTTTTTTTAATAAAATAAAATATAGTTAATATAAAAAATTATTTATTAATTGATATAAAAAGAGGTTGTAAAGAGTTTCTATAAAACTATAACATAAATTACTTATTTATTTATTTATTGAAATCTAATTAGACAAGAATTATTAAAATAAAAAATATTTATTAATTAATATAAAAAGAGTTTTTAAAAAAATTTCTATAAAATTCTAACACATATTACTTATTCATCTATTTATTATGAATTTTTCTAATAAAAGAAAATATAATTAAATAATAATATATTTTAAAAAATAAAATAATTTTTATAAAATCTACCGCAAATTAACTATTTTATTTTTAATAAAACTCTATCCCATTTGTAGAAATTTTATTTTTAATAAAACTCTATCCCATTATCTACAAATCATTCGTACTTGCCTTTTCATAGTATAAATAAATAAGGCCGCTAATAAATAACAGCCAAAAATATATTTTTATCTAAAAGTTTTATGATGGTATGATATTTTTAGAGGGAGAGATTTTTTCACATCACCTCGAGCTACAAGAGGTCTCGCTAAATTGTGCAGAGTTTGGTGTGTCTTTGCGGAAAAGAAAGAGTGAAAGTAGAGATGGACACTGAGCAGGTGAGAAGGAGAATGAACATGATTGCCGGTCACTTTGCCACCAACGATGATGTATGTGCCACTGCCACTGCCACCCACGTCTTCCCTTTGGTATTCTCTCCGTATTTGATTTATGTAACCCTCTGTTTGGTTTCTCAGAAAAACTTAAGAAAAATTATGGAAAGCAAAAAGAAAGTCTTGAATTCTATTTTTCTTTGTCCTTCTTGGGTTTCAGATGAAAACTTTTCATTTTTCGAAATTTTAATTTCTTCCTTGTAACACCTTTTTTTTTTTTTTTTTTCTCTCCCTCTCTTAGCAATCAATCAGGAAAATTTGATTGTTTTGCCCCTTTATTCTCCCAATCAGCTGTTGTTTTTTCAACCATTTGCATTTGTAACTTCGCTGTTGTTCAAGCATAATTCCTTGTATCTATACACACCATTTGGTTTAATTGAATATACTGATCGAGTAATTAGTTTACTGGTTCTTCTCTCTGTGTTGGGGATTTAATGGATTTTTTCTAGGAGATACATATAGGTTAATCATTAATGCCATGTTATTTGTTTTGTTGTATTCTACATTCTGAAATGTGTTGTGGTTTTGGTACCCAACTTTTTTAAGGTATTAGTGGCATATGGACATGATTTATATATCTTGTGCCTTAAAAGTTCTCTCATTCTTTTATAAAGCTGATCTCAATCTCAAGATCTCAATCTCAATTAGTAAAATATTTCTTGAAAGGTGGTAATCCAATTACAATTTAGGATGACTTCCTTTGTGGGCTTAAAAGTGGCAATTGATGTGGTAGCTTGTATGATTGTATGCTTGTGAACTAAAGTTGTAAATTTATTTTGTATAAACTTGTAACACTCATATTGATTTCTTAGAAACCGGAAAGGTTAATCCCAACTTTTAATCGAAAATAATAATAGATAGAGTATGATTTAGGATATGTAAACAATAAGTTTCTGAGGCCTAGACAAAGAAATATTGCAAAAGTAGAAAATGAAATTGTAGGTATCAAAGAGGTTTCTTGAAAAAGACAATGACCACCCAAATGCTTAAAAACCAAAATTTCTTGCTGACTTGAACTGATTGCATCTTGAATAGTTTTTAAAAATCAGGAGAGTCTGTGTCTCGGCCATTGAAAGTGGTATCTTCTTATAAAATTATCACCATTATGATAATGCAAAAAGTTACTAATTACTTTGGGGTTATCAAAACTGAGCCATTTAGGTTTATATATGCACTTTGAACTTTGAAATGATTGACCATAAAGTACAACAATTGGGCACGATTGAGATTTGATTTGTTCTCTCAGTAATGTAGAAAGTTACCTACATTTGTAGTAATAGTATCCTAGCAAAGAAAATTGATTAACATTTATAACTGGATTTGTGCACCATTTAGGGATCCATGAACATTTCTGGTTATGATATTTTCTCTCGAGTGTTTGCTTTTATGGCGCTAGAGTATGATTGTTGCTGTGAACTATTGCTACCTAGATGTTAGGAGTCTACTCATCTAGTACTCTTAACAATGAGCTAATCTGTACAAAGCTCTCATTTGCTAGGCTACCATCTAATTTCCAATATATTCTTCACCTGTAAATTTTTATTTTTTGGTGCACTTATTTGTCTCATCTTCTTGGTACACTTATTCCAGCGGTTCAATCATCTTTCTTTTCTCAGAATTGCAGTAGCAGTTTAAATGCTGTCATCCGGAGGTGTGATAACAGAATTTATTTTGCGAGGCAAGGGTCTAATTCTCAAGGTTGCTTCATGAGGCAGGTTTCAAATGAACAGGTGCTTATTATATTTGGTATACACGCCTTAATGTTGTTTTCCAATTCTTCCTGGAACTTATTCTGTATTCTCTCTGTTGCATCTGTATGTTTGTGTTATCCGTTGTACCTTCACTCAGTCTGGTGTGCCACTCAGGTGCACTGGTTCTGCAAATGAGAGCTCTTCTCATTCTTTTGAGACACCCTTGTTTTCTAGACCTGCTAGGACGGAACCTGACTTCCCAAATGTGGGAGTAATCCACCATTGGTGCAAGACTGCACATTACCTGCACCTGAGCCTCCGACGTTTTCCTGCACCTGTTCTGGGGTGGGTTCTAGCTTTCAAGTTCGGAAGTTACTTGGACTTGGTGGTTAGATGCATGAGGACAGTTTTCTTTTTATATGAGTGTTAAGGGCCTTGAACTTTGAAATGGTTGTTTACAGTTCATGTACAACATTTGGGCATGATTGGGATTTATTTGTTCTCTGTGTAATATAGAAAGTTGCCCACATTTGTGGTATCCTAGCAAATAAAACCGATTAAGATTTATAACATTCACGTGGGGATTTATAATTGTTATTTGGTTATGAGATTTATCGACTGTTGGCTTTATGGTGCTAGAATAAGATTATGGCTGTGAACTAGAGTTACCTCAGTGTTAGGAATCTAGTCATCAAGTCCTCCTAACAATGAGCTAATCTGTACGCAGCTCTCATTTGCTAGGCAAGCATCTGATTGTCAATATATACTTCATGTGTGTGTGTGTGTATATACACGGGGTAGGTAATACACATACATGTACCCATTATTGTCTCATTAGGACTCTTACCCTCAACATTCCACTTGGAAGGAGGAGGAGACAGCACATGGGCTAAACCCTTGGTGCTGCTTCGTGTGTGATTCACTGCCATAAGTATAACTAATTCATTTACAATATTTAAAACTTATTCCAGTGTCCAATGTTTGGAAAAAAAGACACCAATATAAATACCATCTGTTTGTGTAAATAAAAACTAATGAATATTCTCCTAAAATTAGAAACATCATCATACATAGAACTGGTTGAACAAGTAATATAGTCATCAAATGATGATATTTATTGTGTTCTTGTTTCTTGAAACATGTGTCTGGGGGATATTTCATATGGTTTTTTTGTCCCAACTTCTTTGTGCACTTATTCCAGTGGTCCAATTATCTTTCTTGCCTCAGAATTGCAGTAGCAGTTTAAAATCTGTCATCCAGAGGTGTGATAATAGAACGTATTTTGGAAGGCAAGGGTCTAATTCTCAAGGTCGTTTCATGAGGCAGGTTTCAAATGAACAGGTGCTTAGATTTGGTATACCTTCCTTAATGTTGTTTTTCCAATTCTTCCAGGAACTGATTCTGTGTTATCTCTGTTGCATGTGTATGTTTGTGTTTTCGGGGGTACCTTTGCTCAGTCTGGCATCCCACTCAAGTGCACCGGTTCTGCAAATGAAAGCTCTTCTAATTCTTTTGAGACACCCTTGTTTTCTAGACCTGCTAGGATGGAACCGAACTTCCCTAATATCGAAGTAATCCAACCTATGGTGCAAGACAGCAATTTACCTGCACCTGAGCCACCAATGCTTGCCAGACCAAATAAAAGAATTAGCAGAAGGAAGCAGTTCCACTCCAAGAAGAAAATTCACGCTTTTGAATTGAATGGTAAAGAATTTTGATATCTGAATATGTGAGCTTTTGATGCATTCTTACTTCAAATTTTTTTGTTGTTTGGGTGGTCGTTTCTCATTTTCCTTCATGACCATATATTAAAGATTTGTGTATTCAGATTAAAATTTAGTTAACATGGCATTTAAAAGTTTATTAACCTCTCTCTCTCTCGTTCCCTTCTACTATTAAGCAATTAGTAATGAAAACTGATTTTTAATTCAAGTATCTTGTATTCGCACCAGATAGAAAGAAGGTATTTTAACTGGGCTTGAACATGTTGAAATGCCTAGCTGAGAAGGTTGGAATTAATGTTCAAATAATTGTCTTTCTTGCTATCTGTCTATGAGACTCTGGTTGCTTTTGTCTTGGATTTCAAGGTTGAGATATATAAATAGACTGTTCTCTTTCTCATTTATGACACAGGATTTGAATGGTCCCCAAGAATAGATGCTGCAGAATCTGGATGCAATTATGTAATTACAGTAGAGCTTCCAGGTGTTGGCATTAATGACATTAGAGTGGAGGTCAATGAACAAAAGTAAGATACTTTCTGGAGATTCATGTCTATACTTCCATTTCGTGTTATTTCTCTTCCACTCTTTAGGGGTGATATCTTTTAATCGGCACGTATAAGATGTCTATGACTGAAGTGATTCTTTTTTATTAGGATCTTTTAATTGGAGCTTGACATTGGTCTAACGAGACATTTCATTTTCTGGCAGTTTGACTGTGGCGGGTAAACGCTCAACCCAGTGGTGGAAAGTGGAAAGTTGTTCAAATGATGTAATCTCTGCATATCACAAGAGGGAGATTTTACAAGGGCCTTACCAGGTTGTGTGGGCACTTCCCCCTAATGTGAACAAGGACAGTGTATCGGCTGAGTTTGTGTAAGTCACAGCTTCATATCATTGTTTCCCTTATTGGTTTTATGCTTCTTAATTGGAAATGGCTCACAGTGACGATTCTTTTAAAGTGTGTGTATATATTTATATATAGTTGATTACCAGTCCTGATTACATACAATTTTCCTGTTTAAACATTTTATCTTTAATATATTTAGTAGACCTGTTTAAACATTTCATTTTTATATGATTAGTTCATATGTAAGAGAAAGGAAAAAGTACCTCTATCAGCATCTATTCAAAACTTTGACTTAAAATTCTGTTTTTAAGTTTGGAAATTGCATAATACCTGGTTATCATCCTCATTAACATCAATATGTAATTTTACGTGTGAATATATATTAAAATTGATCTACAAACAGAATTTTAATATAAATTTCCATCAGTATGATGTGGTGGATGCATTTTTCAGCTGGACACTAGCAGTCATTTTGTTTATAATGATATGGAAATAGTCTGCGGCATTAATTTTATGTGAAGATTTTATATAAATTCGGTGTATATATCATTACTCATTAACAAGTTGATATTCAAATATATAAATTGTTGCAGTGTTATTTAGATTTAAAGGGTCATACAATAAAACTTTAGCAAAGATTAAATGAGTAGTACTAAGAGCTAAAACAACAATGTTGGAGATTTTGATTTATGTCAGGGAGGGTCAACAAATGAAAGATTTTAGGTTATTGAAGAAACTAATGAAAAGTTGTTGAGAAAATAATCTAGATTTAAAATTATTTTTGACCTATCCAGATGATTCCAATGATTTGACTTCTTAAAATATACTGTGGTGGGTTTAGATAAGCAATGGATAAAGAATGTGTATGTTAACATGACAAAGGACTTGTACGATGTAGTTCTGGCTATAATAAAAACAATTGCAGGAGAAACAAATGAACAAACAATTACAGTAGGATTACACCGGGATAACTATGTTTTTGCTTTAGTTATGATGAGCTGATAAGATACATTAATGATGAGGTTTCATAATGTTTGCTGTATATTCTATTGGCTGATGATATTTGATATTGATAATATTAGTGTAGGGACAAAAATTTAATTAAAGATCTTGAGAGAAGCTTTAGAATCAAGAGGTCTTAAATTCAGATTAAAACTGAATGGAAAAACTGTAATTTTAGAAAAATTAGGATGACAAGTGGGCATATGATGAAGATCGAAGGTAAATTGATACCAAAAAAGGGGTAGTTTTATTACCTAGATTCATAAAGAAGAAATATTGGAGATGATGATGTTACTCATCATTAAAGTAAGATGTCTTAAGAGGAGAATTGCTAATGGCATAATGTGTGATTGATATGAAACTATACAATTTATCAATGTTGAGCTATGAAATAATATATTTATAAAGCAAGCATGACTGAATTATGAATGTTGAGATGAATGTGTGCATCCACTGCATATATATATATATAAAATAAAAAATAAAAAATAAAAAGAGAGGAGAGAATCAATTAAAGATGGTTTGGTTATGTGCAACAATCTCTAGTGAAATAAAAATATTGTGATCTCATTGAGAGGGATGCTAGAGGAAATGGAGGGCCAAATTTAACATACACTACGTTATTAGGGAAAGATAAATAGCATCTTACAGACAAGGAAAAAAAAAAAAAAAAAAGGACTGTGATAACATGTAGGGGTGCACACGGTTCGGATGACATTGATATAATAGTATTTTCGAACCAATCCAATCTCAACAAAAAAATTGTAACCAAACTGATCCGATCACACAGTCTAAACCTAGCAAAGTCCAAACACAATCCAACCATGGAATTGGATGATGTGCAGATTGATATGGAATTGGGGCTTTAGGGTTGGGTCATGGGTTTTCATATAAGGTGTGGTAAGGTCTATGGTAAACTTACATAGATGACCATTGTTATGAGAACTAAATATATACAATAGTAGTGAATCGGGTTTGTTTTTTGGACTATATCTGTGAACCGAACCTATCACCGTGGTTCTCTTAATTCTGAAACTGTAACTGAACCAATTGCTTGAGAACCTAAACCGATCAGATCGAATTAACGCGTTGAAAAGTTGATTTTATGTTAATAATAGTGAAAGCTTGAATTGGAAGCATGGAGGATGAGTGGGTCAAATGAAATCATATTAAAATATCTTAACATCTAGCCAAAAAGGAAAGAACGAAAAATTATCATATCATTTTCCATTGTTATTGATGTTTCTTCCCAAATAACTTCCAATTTGACCTTTTCCCTCCCTTCAGTCATTCAGTTAAATGCCTATTCATCATCCTTAAAACTCTCTCTTCCCATTCTTCTGCAGATCCATTATTGCAGCAACTACTTCAATCTGAGCTCATTGTTTGGATGAAAGTAACTGGAACTGATAAATAGGATTTGAATGCACCTGGATTTCATTATTTGGAATTTATATTTCTTCTGTTTGGACCAATAATTTAGTTCTTATGGTTCGGTAGAAAAAATGGTGGGTGTTATGGTGGTGTTTGTGCTGTATATGTGTTCTTCCAGTGACTGCCCTGGTTCTGACAGTTGTAAAGGGGATGTAAAACATTGCTTTCGTGTTGAAAATGACACATCTTGTAGCTGTAGTAGTAAAAGTAGTATATGCAATCCCTTGTATGGGAATCCTAAAGGCGAAATCAATTCCAGAAGCAACTATGATGATGCCAGCTGGTCTTGTTGCTGTACTTGTATGTTGTAATTATGCAAATAGACTCCTACAAGTAACTATGATGATACCACATAGTCTTCTAGTGATAATATGTAATAATGTAACTAATAACTTAAAACAGTAATACCCTTGTTGTGAGCTAGTGGTCACCGACGTTGAAAAAGCTGTCATTTGCCTATTTATGGTGTATCCAATCAAAATAATTTTGTTTATGAGGTGGACGATGAGAGTGATTTGGTGAGTTACGGCATGAAAGACATAGGATGTTAATTGGGTGGAATCTGTCTCATTTTGGCATTATAATAGGACATTTGTTTATGCTAATGCTCCCTGATTGTGTTGACGAGTCTTGGTCATTGTGGAGGTCTGAACATATTTTGAAGGGCCAAAACTGGGAAGTCTTGTTTGGCGTATAGATATAGGTTTTGATGCAAGTGATTGAGACGAGTCGCAAACTGCCCCTGTAGGCCCTATATACTTCGACAAATGCTTAAAGGTACTGATAAATCTAAGGAGGAGTTATGTATATGTCAGGGCACTACATTTTGCAGATACTCCCAAACATGATTAATAAGTTTGGGTATGTTGCTGTCTGTTCTAAGGCACTTGCTAATGGTTCTGATGAGATATGGACATTGGAAATTAGTTTTACTATTTTTATAGGAAAAAGTTCAAGTAAAAACTAAATTAACTATTTATATAAATAAGTTTGATTATTTTTTAGTAAACAAAGTAATTTCCAGAATTCTTTATAAAAACAGTTCGCTTGCACCCCTCTTTTCACAAACCCTTGTTGTAAGTTCTGATAGTTTGGAATTTACCATTATACCAAACAGTGACCCTAAAAATGTCCGACCTTCTAGATTCCAACCAATCCCCCAAGTACTAATGGTTATTGCCTAGCCTATGGTTACTAAGGCAAAAAATGATTCACTTTAAATTAATTTTAATTTTGCCACATCAATAATTTTGTCCTGTCCATGTATTTTGTGTATATGTAGTTCCAAAAACTTAACACCAACAATGCCATAAAAATTCCAGTAAATCTATGTACGTAGGAGTTGGTATCATTTTTCTTTATTGCAGATACATTCATTGTGTCCTAATGCTTGAAAATTTGAGTGTGTAGTAGAGCATTATGTACACTTATACTACTTGCATCTGACAGTTGATGAGTATTGTTGGTGCAGGGATGGATTTCTATGCATCACCATTCCCAAACTTTGAGAAGCCAGACGGTATAAATGTCTTTTTAATTGTAACTAATGTTTATATGATGTACTAGATGGAGGGGGGGTGAGGACACTCTACAGTGTCATATATATACATATATATATATAGAGAGAGAGATTGAGAGAGAGAGAGATTGTATTGGATTCTTCATATATATATGTGTGTGTGTGTGTGTGTTATTATCTGAACATGCTTGCTATTGTCAGTTGGGAGCTGCTTTAAGTAATATTCAATTATGGCCTTGTAAGAATGTTATTTGATTTAGCACTCTGCTCTACATTTGGGATGATAACCAAGTGATGGATTGGTACTGAGGAAAATGTTGGGGTGGTGGTTGACTAAAGATTGATTAGAATGATATGTGATTCCACTGGGTATCAATCCACCCTCTCTTACTTGTGAATGCATGATTTATAGGAATTAAATATATTTTAGAACATATTTTGTTAGAATTTTTGGGAGAAACTAATGAAAATAAACTTATTGAGAGACATATTGGCAGCTGGGAGAAGTACAAGAAGTAATGCAACAAAAGAGAGTTTTAAAGCATGGAAGCCTAGCGGTATAACTTTTCTATACTGAAAGACGATGGATTCGAGTGTGGGGCGATAAAGGGTACAAAAAATGCTTTATAAGGTGACTAAAGAGAATCTAGAAACATCAGAAATTCAAAACCTTAGTCAAGAAGATAATAAGCAAAGCTAAACAAAATGCATAAATGCTTTATATATATATAAAAAAAAAAAACCCACTATTGTACAAAAACTATTTGTAAATTGGCAAAGAGTACGGATAAGTTGAGCTAACCAGTCATATAATGAAATTATGAAAAGGATGATAGACTGGAAGGAATCTATAGCCATCCGATAACCAATTTAAACCAATCTAAATTTATATTAGGAAACTCAACAATGGAAGCTATTTACTTAAGAAGAGCATATTCAACTGTTCTGTGTATATATATGTGTGTGTAAATTTAATGTGTCATAATAGATTTAAACAAAAAAATTGGATTATTTATTTTTAGTTTCAGTTATTATTTTATACCTTTTGTGTAAAAATATATCCCCAATAACAAAGTGTCATGTGTGGACTCACATAATTTTTATAAACCTATTTAATACAGGTTTGATTTGTTAATGGGATAAGAAAGAGGGAGGAGAAAGGAAATATGCTGATGTGGTAAAATATACAATAATTTTACACATTGATGATGTGGTAGTCACAATTTTTCACATTGGTGACATGGCGATGTATCTTAACATATTGCTGGAGATAAAAAAAATTTACACTTCATACATGGCCATGTATATTTTACACAAAGGAATATTTTAACATAAGAAAAACTCAATATATGATTTTTTTAATAACTCAATTAAGCACTTAATTTTAAACAGGCTAAGTTAAGCACTTAATTTTAAACAGTAAATGACTAATTGAAATGGGATAAAATTTAAAGTGAGAAAACATCACTCATCACTAATGCTAAAGGTTGAAAATTTATAAAGATATTAAAAAATATTCATTTTTTAATTATCATTTAAAAATTCAGTAATTAAAATTTATATCTTAAATATTTTTTAATTATCATTTTAATTATCATTTAAAAATTCAGTAAAATTTATATCTTAAATATTTTTTAATTATCATTTAAAAATTCAGTAATTAAAATTTATATCTTAAAATTTTCAGTAATTATTTATGGTAAGTACCGTAGAAGAATTCTTCCTTTCTTATTTTTTTTATGACATGTTCATGCATAGCAAGACTTTGATGCTAGTTTGAATGGGTCTCTAAATTTCATTTCTACAAACATATTATGAAGCTCAAAATCAAGTCTATTTAATGTTAAGTTGACACATTCAGTCGTAGGAAGAACTACATGACATTTACGTTAAACCTAGCAATATATACTTTGGCTATTCTCTATACTTAGGAGAAAGCCTTGATGAGTCAACTATCGAAACTTTAGGCGAATTGTCAAACTTATTTATTAAGTCTAAGAATTTTTATCTACTTGATATAGCGAATGGGACTTATCTTGGAGCTTATCCACTATATTAAATTAATAGAAACCCATGGACATAAAAAAGTAGGTTTAAAAATTCCATCTAAATATCATTACTCACAAAAGATAAGAATAGTTGTGCAGCTCAAAACTCCAATCTATAGCCTTTAAAGCATTCTCTGCAGAAACTAGGGTTTGAGGGGTAAATTTGAAAAATCGTGTCTTAAAAATTCTGAGATCACTTCCACAGCCTTATATCATCATTACAAACATGCTCAGATGATAAACATGAAGAGTACAACATGTATATATCACTACAATCATGGATAAGGCTTGACATCAACTGTACACTTAAGAACTTAGGGTTTTGGAGGGACAGAACTTGAAATAACCAAAGTTCTGTCCAAATACCAGCTTCAACAGCCTTAATTTATCAATATAAACTTGATAGCAGGTAAATCAAACATTGTACAGCAAGATATAATCAATCTCTATATGAATCACAAGGTTAAACCTAAAAACAAGCCTAATCACAGGTCTAAGAGTAAGAATTCATTTACAGCAATATGTAGTTCAAAAACAAGTGCTCAGCAAATGCAAATAACTCAAATATACCTGTCCCAACCTTCACTTGGCACCACAGTAACCTCAGGCTCAATCTCAACCTTCAAACCAGCCCTTGCACCAACAACCTTGATAACAACTCATCCTCCATGGTTTAGATTAATTCAGTGAAGATTTTTGGTTTAGATTATCATCAAAAACCTCAGAAATCTTTGCTCATTTAAAGCTCTCGAGTATATTGAAATGCAAGTTGCTATTAGGGTTTCCAATGAGGCTTGTCACCCTAAAATCTCTATTACAACATATATATAGTGAATCTCACTACACTAGTTCTTCTTCAATAAGGATTTACACCTGTCACCTTTAGCCAATTATTGCGTAGAGAATGTTCTGACATTCTTCATGTGAATGGACCAATATACCCTTGCCACCTCAACTGTTTTGTCCTCTAGTGTACCAGAAATTACACCTCATAGTGGTAAGGTTGTAATAGCATTCTTATTCAAACTTCGCCCTTAAGCAATGCAATTGTAGTGCATACACTATCACTCTAGGACCATAGCAACGTGTCACACACCTGAGCTCCATTAAGAAAGACCAAAATGCCCTTGTAACAGTCATTTGTCGCTCTCTGCACAATACTAGTCTTGAGACTGTATAAATCACAATGTAGGCTAAACCACAGTTGTTCAATACAATGAAGCTATCTGGACACATGTATAAACATATAATACAATAGTAAAAAGACCATAATGCCCCTGAAAATCCCTGTAGCCAATTTTCATGTGATGAACCTCAATTTACACAGCAAAATAGCCTAAGCAGGTAAAGTGACTGCAATGTACTATCTCGAACCACTGTGAAACTGTGTCACGAGATGGTAAAAGATAATACTACCCTTTTGTGATGATTCAAACCTATGTGCACCACAATGCAGGTGGTATAACCCCATGAAAGCTCTGTAATAACTGTTTTTGACATTAAATAGGCAAACACACCTTAGGACCAACAATCTCCCCCTTTTTCCTTTAACAACAAAAACCCCAAAACGAAATAAGGACTAAGTATAGAAGACTCAGCCACATAAGTACATGAAAACCTTAAGTACAGATAATTAAATATAGATACCAAAACCTTACAAAAGGATGAAAACTATCCTTATTTCTGTCATTTTCTCCCCTTTTTTGGCATTGAAAGTCAAAAGGTGATAAGGGAGCAACAATGATAAGTTCAATAAGGTGGTGGAATAACCCTGAGATGATCTCTAAGGGCTATAAATCTCCGAGGAATTAGAGGTTTGGTCATAATATCTGCAAGTTGATCTTCAGTGGGCAAATATGTGATATTAATAAAGCCTTTTTGAACTTTATCTCTGAGAAAGTGATACCTGATGTCAATGTGTTTGCTCTTTCAATGAAGGGTTGGATTTTTACTGATAGCAATGGCACTTTGATTGTCACAGAATAACTTGGAGGACCTGAGAATTGAAGTCCAAGGTCTGTAAGTGTTGTCTGCATCTAGAGAAGTTATGAACCAGCATGTGAAGTAACAATATACTCAGCCTCTGACGTTGAAAATGACATTGTATCCTGCTTTTTCTTAACCAAGACACTATGTACACACAAATTTTGTAGTCCTGCAAATACGAAACAAAATTGGGAGCAAATATAATATTTTTATTAATTTATAAACAATTGGAGTACAATCCTCTGTAATATTATTCTTTACAAAGAATACGGTCCTCTGATTCGATTTCCTTTTTTTTTGGTTGGTTAGATCCAAGGGCTGCACGAGCTTGATCTTGAATCACAGTGGAATTTGGATGAAGAACGACACGTCTTTGGCTGTGCTTATTGTTGATCACCGTGGAATTTAATGAAGAACGATACGATTTGATGTGCATGGTGTTCTTCGCTTTTGGGTTTGGATGTTGGGGATGAGAGTTTCTGTATTTCTTTCTGGAATTCTAGATTTCTGAATTTTGAATTTGTGTGTCCCTTCCTTCTTCCTTCAGGCCTCTATTTATAGGCTTCTTGGATTAATAGGATGATGACACGTGTCATCTTCTGATAAGGATAAAATAATAATTGGGCCGGGCCGGTTATATTATGATAATTATCCTTAAAAATAATTATTGCAAATATATTTTATTAGGAATAATTATTCTTTTTATTTAACCATCTGGGCTAGGCTAATTAAATAATTTAAGTGGACCAAGCTTGGGCCAATTAAATAACTTAATTAAACATTAGGCCCATATTTAATGGGTCCATTTGTCAAAACCAAAATCCACTAAAATTTTAGTGTCTACAAATTACCCCCACTTCAAGTTCCAAGTTTGACAGGACTTGTCTCCTTTTTCAAATGGAACTTGAAGTATCCAACTTTTTTTTTTTTTTTTTGGTTTCCTTTCCTCTCCAACTTTGAATTGCAAGATTTCCTATTTTGGTTTTCTATCCAACTTTGGATTGGAATTTTACTTTCCTATTTGAAGTGAATTATACAAATCCTAATACAAATATGATGTATTTTGTTGACTATATTTACCTCCAATAGGGTTTGACATCAATTCAAATATTCTCTGAAGACTTGTCAGATTACAACCTCTGAAAACTGTGTTGTATTACGGCTTCTGCTTGAACAAATAATCGGTATGATTTCTCTCTCTCTTCTTCTTCTTCTTCTTTTTTTTTTTTTTTTTTTTTTTTTTTTTTTTTTTTTGCATGATTGGGTATAGCAACTTGATTTTGCCAGCCATAACAGATATTGAAATCCTCCTTCTAAACAACACCGATCAAGTTTCAAATTTGTTTGTTGTTCCATCATGGTAGTGTTCAAGTGTTTCGCAAAGCAAAAGATGACTATCTTAGAGAGCGAAAATAGTCAACGAGTCCAAGGAACGACATTAAGTGTATATGACTCACTTTTCGGTCGGAATGCCATTCAATTGCCTGATCCTGACAATAAACATTGTTCATCTCATTGGACATGCACGGCCACATGTAAACTCACTAACTTTGGTCTTGATCAGATTAATGAAGAATCTATTGTCTCTGAAGCCTTGATACTAAATTCTTCACTTTATGAGAGAGTTGTTAAGGAAAACTAGTTTTCACTCTTGGGTCTTAATGTTCAGGCGAAGGAAATATCATAGAGTA